CATCCTCTTAAAACTAAAGTTTTTTAATACTCGAAGGCTGGGTTTGAGCTGAATGAGACTTAGGTGGACGGGGAATATCCTCTTAAAATTACATTCGATGGCTTTTCAAATTCTCAAGTTGGCGATTTACCCGAAAAAAATTTTGGCGGGCCCGTACATGGGTACCACGCATACCCGCAGGCTGAGTATGAACTCATTAATACTCGCTTGGACGGGCATTAATACCCACTTTTGGTCGTAAAAGAGTAATTAACATTCTCCAAAAGTTTCAGCTTTCTGGTTTTCCTCGTTCCCAAGTTAGCAATTTTCCGCGCCAGTATTTTCGCGCACCCGTATGTGAACCCCACGCTGCCGGTCTCGAGGGTCAGCGAAGGCTGTAAGCAGCTGAATTTGAAACCTTTAATCACACATGGGGAAGGAACATTACCCTGAAGTTTCAGCTTCCTAGCTTTTCCCGTTCCAGAGTTAGCAGTTTTCCTGCCAAAAATCTCATGTGTCTATATGTGAGACGTAGACGTACGCGACAAATAATATCACGTTTCCGGAGTCGCACTCGGCCAGGAACACATTGGCAAAGTTTCAGCACCAAAACTTGCGTAGTTGGCGAGAAGAATACCCGAACACACACACACACACACACGCACACACACACCCACACACACACACAGACACACACACACAGGATCGTCCTAATGTGCGTTTTGGTTGCTTGTTGCAATGCTCTAGCGTTGCGCAGCAAAAACGCATAAAAATAGTTTACTTTAGAAAAATGTAAGTATGAACTAGGAAAGTTCTTGAATTTAAGTTTCCTACTTTCTCTGGCTGTAGAACTGAGAAGGGTAGCAAAATCCGCATACGTTCACACAAGCACACCCACCCATCCACACACCATACACGCATACTCTCGTTGATATGCGTTTTTGAATTCCGTCAAACTTGCAAAAATGCATGAAAGTGTAAATCTAAAATGTATATTTTCAGTGGAACATAGCACTTGCCAGCAAACGTTAAGTCACAGCATCGACGAAACAAAAAGTCGCTCTTCTAGCAATCCCTCACACAATGGAAGTTAGAAATAGCAAAGCCAAAACAAAAACGTAATTTGGGTAGCATCAAAACACAGTGCTTTACCGCAAAATCTCAATTTTTAACGAGAGTAGATGATTGATTAGATGATGGATTCGAAAACTTGCAGGCTACAGAGTATCGAGAAACCGTGTCTGGGGCCAAGCAAGTAATTGGTTTCTATGGGTGTTACGACGAACAAACACCAGAAGGACAAATTTTTTTGTAGGTCTCTGAATTCAGACAGAAAATCTTTCTGTGGTGTTTAGATACAAAAAAAAAATAACATTAACGGTGTTTCAATTATCTTTAAAATATTTTCATCTCACCTGTCGTGAT